TTGCTCTGTTAAAAGTCGAATGCGTTCAGAATAGGAATCGTGCTACACCTGTAAGTTTTCGTTCTAGTTTCAGCTGACTTACTATCTCTTGAAGTCGCCTTTTGTCGCTTTCTTTGTCGACTAGATTCAAAGCTTTGTTGAGCAATTCTATAGCCTCTTTATAGGCATATACGGCACCTGAAACATCGTTGGTGGAATCACATTGGACTGCAGCATTAGCCTTTTGCAAAGCCGAGCGTAAGATAAGTTTAGAAGTTTGCTTTATCTCTTGGTAAGAGGTGCTATTAGTGCTGGATATAAAAACAGAATCAATGTTCATGTGAGAAGTGTGAAAAAATGCTGATTCACCTCTAAAAAAAAGCTTATTTACACTGTACTCCCCTCCCTCTTTGTGCAGCTCTTTTCCTCTTTTAGTATGTTACACTGCTTTTTGTCATCTGAGATCGGTACAAACTTTTGGTCCCTATGCTAATGCCGCCTCTTTCGGTTCTTGCTCTATCTCGGCTGTCCATAATGTTTTCTAAAGACTATAAAACGATATTGTTTTTCATTCTGTTTTTTAAATCATATGCAAGCTAACCAAGACGAATTCCATTATATAAACACAGCCAAAAGTGAGCTTTAGATCTCTATGTTAATCTTGTGCTATTTTTAATATTGCCCTAGCTCAATGGCCAGAACAGTTCACCCTCCCACCAGTCCAGTTCAACCCATATTCGTCCATAGTTCATAGACCTCGATTAATAGCCACAGTGTGGGATGACCAAAATACGCTTTGTTATCAAGTTGACACACAAGGTATATGTGTAGCTCGTCGTCAGGGTAGGTCGTGTTTAAACCAAAAATTCCGTCTAACGCGTTCTATTAGATAACGATATGATTAACGGCACAAAACTACTGAATGTAGCAGGACTTTCTCGTGGTAAACGAGACGGTATTTTAAAGAACGAAAAGAAGCGTGTGGTTGTTAAAATAGGCGCTATGAGTTTAAAAGGAGTTTGGTAAGGATAGTGGTTTTTTCATTGAATTGAACCATATTTTTACAGGATTCCTTTGGATAGAGCCAAAGCGCTCGCTAGCCAGTTCGGCATCTCGGACACTTTATATCCTCTTTTTGAAAATTCACCAGCCTCCTATATCTGCCCGTCCCATTTACGGCAATTACAAAGTTCTAACCTTTGTCTAGAAGACGTTTCGTTGATAAATCGTATTGAAAGTCCCGCTGAAGGTAAGACACCTTTTAAAAAAAAAGAATTCTACTAAAATAGTATCAGTTGGCTCAAACACAGCCCACCCTTGGTGATTTTTCGATCATATAATAATTAAGTATGCCATGCCAAACAGAAGGCACGATACACAGGCTGCAATAGAATACGTTTTATACTACAGCCTAATAAAGTAATCGATCTAATCATGGATATATACGTATATAAATGAAAAGCCATGAAACAAAATCGAAACGGCATGCTAAGTTTCGAATTCAAGAAAATACAGATCTTTCAACATTTACAGGTCTAAGGCTGGATATGAAACTATACAGTTTACTGAATCAAGTCACACTAGAACCTGACAGATGCCTAAAAGATCTTATAGGGGATTTAAAAAGTAGATGAATAACTTTGATTGGCTGGCATAAAATAAGCGAATCTGTGTACGATCATAGCGTCTGCTTTTCGTATAAATTTTTCTTTTTTTCTTTCTCTTTTTCATGTTTAAGCGCTTTTTTTCTTCTTCAAAAAAAATGGGGTTCACATACAAAGATGCTGTAGAAAAACTAAATTCACTTCAGTCCAATGCTTCTCTTCTAGAAAAGCTTCGTAAAGCAGGCCCTCGCATGAACGAACGTAGTCTTCCTGAGATGATAAAGTACTTTGAGCGCATTGGATATAGCCCTAGAGACTTCGATAAACTCAACCTAATTCATGTTACTGGTACTAAAGGAAAGGGCTCAACGTCGGCCATTACACAGTCTATTCTGCATAACTACGATCCTAACATTAAAACTGGTCTTTTTACTTCTCCCCATCTGGTTGCTGTACGTGAGCGTATTCGCATTAATGGAGAACCGATTAGCGAGGAATTATTTGCAAAGTACTCTCAATATGTCTGGGAAAGGCTAGAAGCTACCAAAGAAGAAGCGATTCGTGCCATGGATATGTCAGATGGAGACAAAAACGAGTTGATTCGAAACAAAAGGGCACACCCTGATAAACCTATATACTTTAGATATTTAACACTAGTGGCATTGCACGCATTTATACAAGAGAAGGTATTAAAAAAAAAGTCGCGTAAATACTGAGTATGTATAGGTGGATTGCGCTATTTTGGAAGTAGGTGTGGGCGGCGAATATGACTCGACCAATGTTATTGAAAACCCAATTGTGTGCGGGATTACAGCATTGGGTCTAGATCATGTATCTGTATTGGGAAACACCATTGACCAAATTGCTTGGCATAAAGCAGGCATAATCAAGCCTAACAAACCAGCTGTCTGTTTTGAGCAATTACCAGAAGCTATGGAAGTAGTTGAAAGAAGAGCCAAAGAAAAAAACGCGCCATTAACTATACTGTATTCAAAGCAAATTTCAGAACTAAATGGTGTGGAAATAGGTTAGTAAATGCGGCTTTTTAGTTAGTCACAAATAACTTTAAATGATAGGCTTGGCTGGTGAACATCAGAAATACAACGCATTGACAGCTATTGAGTTATCCAAACTTTGGCTGAAGTCTACTCGTGGCATCGATCTTGAAGAAAGTGTCCCCGAAGAATTCAAAAAGGGCCTAAGAAATGTATCGTGGCCAGGAAGAGGACAGAAGCTCAAGATACAGGATACAAAGTATGCTTCAGAGAGCGCAAACGCAACATGGTTTTTGGATGGGGCCCATACTACAGAAAGTCTACAAGTCTGTACAAAATGGTTTCAGGAAGTAGTTGAAAAAGAAGGTCACTGCATTCTAATTTTCAATTGCACACACGGAAGAGATGCCAGTCGTCTACTTCAAGTCGTTTCCGATATACAACCACTAGTCAACTTTAACGATGTAATATTTACTACCAATATTACCTTCAAGGAAGGCTATACCACAGACAATACCAACAACAATGTTTCAGCAGAAGAGCTCACTACAGTACAAAAAACACTGGGCGATAGTTGGATTTCTCAAAACTCTACGTTTCCCAAAGACTCAGTACATATAGTTGGGAGCATTGAAGAGGCTGTCGAATTGGTTGTTGAAAAGTCAAAGAAGTCCTCAAAGCAGCTACAGGTTTTAACAACTGGTAGCCTGATCATGGTTGGGAACACGTTGACTGTACTTGGGTTTAAACCACAATAATAATAATAATATCAACAATTAAAAGAGACTTGTGTACATATATATATATTTGCATATTGGAATTTAGTCTTTCTATTGATAGCCAAAAATTTTCGAAATCACAATCGGAACTGCCAAAACAAAGCTACTAGGCGTCTTGGCTAAACATATATAATGTAAAAAGAGAAAGATTGATCTAATTTTCCCGATACAAACACTCTAGAAATACAAAAATAATCCTGATTATGGTTTGTGTTAGCATTGGCTATGAATCACTATAAACGCTTGAAAATAAAAATAAAAATCTACACTACTTATACTCTATCCAACTATAAAATGCATCATACTCCATTGACATTTACAAGGCAAGACTAAGAGACAGCCCAACTTTGACCAGAGAATGACTTTCAACTTGCTTTTATTGGTTTTTTTTTTTAAAAAAAAAAGTGCTATTACCTTTGAAAGAGTGCACAAAAACAATGTTAAAAATACAAAAGTTACATATACATCGTTTTTTAGGAAAACATATCTTAAAGCTGTGTAAAAAATATCTATTATAATTTGATTTTCTGTCTTTATTGAAGTAATAGAAATAGTATATAGACACCAAATAAAAACCCCTTCCTGTATGACAACAAGCAATGGAAGCAAGATTTATCTCCTGACACACCTTTATACCTTTTGTAGTCGAAAATTGCATTTGGCTCACTTTGTACACATTGTGCGGTTTTTAGTTCAGAGGTCTTTTTGATTGTCTGTTTTTTTTTAAAAAAAAAAAAAAGTTTTGCTATGTTATTAGCATGAGCGATTTCCTCTTTCAAATGTGTATAACCTGCTGGATGCAATTCTGTAAGAGTTGTGTCTTCAAATAGGGAAAGGGAGGAGCTGGAAAAGTTCAGGCTTCGATCGACACAGCTTCGTAAAGGAAAACTATGACGTTAAGGACTTGTAAAGGAACTTTGGGACAGTAGAACTTGCAGACGAAGCGGATCTGTAAAAACGAGGCAAAAGATTAAATAAAAGGAAACAAAATAGACAGACAGTCTAAGAAGGAGTACTTGAATAGTAAAAGGAACATGTAATAATTTGCTGCTTTCTTTATTGAATGAACTATTCAAAGAGTATAAATACTCTTTGATGAGATAAAGGAATGTTTGAACAGATTAAATATTTGAGATGGAATGCAGTAACAGAGTAATGTAATGAGCTTTCAGGGCAGTGACAATATCCAAAGAATGTTAGTTTTGACTCAATACGAATTCCGTATGTGCCTCAGAGCATTGTTTATCAATCGCCTGAGTCAATCGTTTGTCTGTAGTTGCTACTAAGAATAAAAAGTGCTATATCGTCTTTACTTCTAAAAGCATAGTACAATGCGCAAAAAAGAATATGTACAAAACAAACAAATATATCTGTCACATTCTTTCTAAGTCGAAAGACTGTCATTCTTTTAATTTGAACGACAAAAACACAAAATCTTCAAATACATTTGTTTTAATTATATGTTGGTCCTTTGTTTTTTTTTTTTTTGTAAGTTGAAAACGAGCAGTGATTATTAGGTCACTAAAATGTTTACAAAATGTTCGGTTAAAAAGCCTCATTGCGGGTAAAACTTTGTGAAAATATCCGGACTTTGCCGGATTATAGTAAATATGTTTTAACTCACTAATTAACTTTTAAGTTCAGCTCTTATGGCGCAATTGGCTAGCGCGTCTGACTGTTAATCAGGAGGTTGGTGGTTCGAGCCCACCTAGGAGCGTTTTTTATTTTTGGTGTTGTAGCGAATATATACTACAATGATAACATCGATTGGACCAAAGACTGGATCAACTTTGCATCAGTATTTAAAAAAATATTTTTATTATAAAGGTTTCCCTTTTATTAATAAACTATATAATGTGACAGACGAAAATAGAGAAATAGTCAATATAGACTAATTAGGACTTTTTTTGTGGGTTGCACCAACGACATCTACGACATGTTGAAGATCTACAACAACAACTACATCTTTGACATGTCGAACTAACTATAAAAAGAAAAAACATTACAAAATACGGAAAACCAGAAAAACATCAGAAAAAGTATAAAAACCCAAAAACAATAATTGTCAAATAATTTATCAAATAACAAATCAAATAAACGGTTATATAAATATTCATATAATACACTTATCACTGAATACCCTTCTCTGTATTTTATCTTATTTTGATCCCTAGAAGTTGAACTTATCCTTCTCTGTAAACTCTTTTTATTTTATTTTACTTTTATTATATTTTACTATATAGTTTGATCTACTCTATAAGATCTGGTGGTCACTACATCCCTTTTTACTTTATTTTTATTCTTTTACTTTATATCTACAAGCGGATATCTTTTATTTCTTTTTATTTTATACACTTAAATCTCCTAAGCACGCAATCCTACAATAAATATTCAAATTACAAGAATATCACTGAATATTTCCCTATTTTTATTATACTGATCCCTTGAAGACGAATCAATTCCTTCTCTGTAAACCCTTATTCTTATTTTTATATCTATCGATTCTTTGAAGTTAACACAGAGCTCTTACTGTAACCCTTTTTGTTTTTAGTTTGTCTTGTTTTTATTTTCTTACAATTGATCTACTCTACAAAATCTAATGGACATTCATCAACGAACCTACTTGTATTCTTTTTGTATTGTATCTCTTTCTATTTGATTTTTTATACTCAATTCTATACAACACCCCCACTTTACAGCATCTGCTAAGTTCTAACAATCCCCCATAACTATAAAGCTTTACCATCCCATAAAAATTCTATTATTTTATTGTCATCGATCAAATATCAACAACGCTATTTGATGTTACAGACCTCATCAATGACATTAATGGCTTGGCCAAAAAATTGGCCAGCTTTACACTGGTGCTCCCAGGGACCCTTTGTTGGTTGTGATTTTATACAACTATACTATTTTGTCATTGTTATTGTTGGCGCTACTATTTTTATAAAGATTGTACCAAATACTATCTAGCATTAATGGTTCAAATACTCCAAAAAAGCTTAAGTAGATTGTAAAATAGATCCAGTTTCGAACACAAAATAAGGAGCAAAACGAGAAAAAAGTTGGCGACAAAATCTTATAGCTACACAAAAGATGTGGACTCTTGTATTCTTTTCCATTTTGCTAATCAACTTTAGATACAACATACCAAGAATTTTGTAATACGCTGTTCATAATTGATCTTTTTAACAAAAAAATCTCAAAGCACCTCTTTGTTGCAAAAAAAAAAAAATTGTGAAGATATGATACATACATTAACTGTTAATTATAACATCAATTCATATACAAATGTAGGGCTAGCTGTTATTATTTTGTCTAAAAATTGCTGTTTTCACTTTGAATACAGTATAAAAAGATATCAATATAACCGATTTACTATTCTTCTTTTGTAATCCATAAAAAAAAGTAATGCGTCTGGTAGTAGATATGAAGTAAATAATTTTTTTTTTTTTTTTGAATATATGGTCCTCAGACTTTGTGGAGAAGATCAAATCAAACAAAAAAAAAGGAAAAGGGCGAAGCAGAAGTCAAGGGTTTATAACAGCCATAATAATGTCTAAAAGTCCTTGCCTTCTTTTTTTGGTTACTATAGACATACATTTAACTTCTTTTTTTGTTGCCAAAATATCCAATGCGGCTGAATAATAAATTAGATGATCTAATATTCTGGAAACTTAGAACTTTTTTTTTGTAGGGCAAAAAAACAAACTATAATATGAAAAATATTCATTGATACCATTGTTTGAAACTGATAAGATATGGTTTAGTTGTAAAATTTGACAAAGATAGACTGCTACAACATTTTTGAGAATTTCCAGTTCTTATGTTTTCTTGGACCTCGTGGTATTTGGTGTATTAAAAATGTTAACACTCTATCTAGTATGAAGCGTATTCATTTATTTATTAAAGAACAGGAGTAAAGTTGGTATAATTTTTGGTTAGCATATATAAAACTAAGATCCTGGTTTGCTTCATTACAAACAAATGATAGGAAAAATAACGATGAAAGTTTTACTGATGGTTTTGTTTGTTTTAATGTTTCTATGCTATATGATCTAAACCTCAAAAAGGTTGCCGAATCTCTTATGCCTCTATAGAGATGTTGTAATACTGTACTATTTGAAAGAATATCTGGGCACAGAAAAGTAAAAAAGGATAAACAAAAAGTTCGAATAAAGGGGTCACTGCATCTGTTTCTAGTGGAGGAGCTTGCTAAAAACAAAAGCAAGGGAAAGATAGGCGACTTGCAATAAAACTCAAAGTAAAATAACAATTTACAATAAAGGTTTCGCTTGCGGCTATTAGATCTTGTAAAATAAATCAAACTAAAGGTAATAATAAAACAAAGCAAAGTAAAGGGTTGATTAACGATGAAGGAATGCGTTTGTCTTCAAAGAATCAGATAAAAAAGTTAAAATAAAAAGGATCACAATAAATGATAATAATTGAATTTGAGGGTTCAGCTATATAATGCCCAATAATAAGACTGTTGCTTGGATATATAAAGACAAAGGTATATTTGCTAAATATAAAAGTTAGGGTATAGATTGATATAGAGAGTTGATAAAAACACTTGGAACAAATTTTTTGAAGGTTTTTATAGTTTTCTCTTTTTTTTGAGTGGTTCAAATACACACACTGCTTGGAGATTCAAGAAAACACAAAAACAAGTGTCTACAGTTTATCTGAATTCACGCTGTTCGTACCAAATATTACAATGAAGACAATGTGGAGTTTTTCCAGTTACTCCAAGAGTGAAGTGTCAAATATTAACAACAACAACAGCACTTTATGATATTGACTCTATGCTAATATGGCTTTAACTTTTTTCATTTCTGCATAGTGTATATCAACAAAAAAAAAACAATGGTGTTTTTTTTTACTATTAGAGAGAATAGCTTCTCTTGTTTTTTTTATAAAAAAAATAAATAATATATAAAATGTAAATTAATGATTAGTTCTAGGTGTAAAACTCATGATACAGCCATCCTGAGGATAAATAGTAGCGAAAATAGAGATGTCATCGCTCTTGTCAGTACGTGTATGTGTCCATTCCATCTTCATAGTGGCTTGAGCAATAACAGCCATCAAGTGCATCATAGCATATTCTCTTCCCAGACAGTGATGAGGCCCATTGCCAAAGACCATAAAGTTTTTGGGGTGTTTTTCAGCAATACCTTGAGGGCCCCAACGATCAGGGTCAAATGCATCGGGATTAGGATAGGCAACAGGGTCATGCAAAGCAGGATAGGTTGTGGGGATGACCATAGCTATTTGATGTAACATAAGTTATGTATTTCTATAAATATTGTTTTCTACATACATTTCTTAGGGATTGTATAGTTGGGTGTAATGGGCCATTCACGTACAGTTTGATAAGGTACCATCAAGACAGGAGGGCGCAAACGCAAAATCTCTTTAACGACTTGACGCAAGTAGAGAGATTCCTCCATTAATTCCAAAGATAGGTCTTGATCGAGATTTCCTTTTCTCACTTCAACTTGTTCTTTATATACCTTCTCGAGCACATCAGGATGGTCCGCTAAAAGTTGGAAAGCCCAAGTCAAAGCAGAGGATGTAGCATCTTGAGAAGCAAACAAGAACGTAAGGATGGTTAAAGCTACTTCGCGGTTGTCGAATTTTCTAGGAGCAGGCTTTCCAGCCTTAGCACACTCTACTTCGTATTCAGCCATTGAGTTGATCCAGGCATCCATCATTGACTTGATTTCTCCACCCTCAGCCATACGTACACGGCAGTCTTTAATGCATTCAATAAAATGATTGACAATGAATTTACGGGACTGGATGGCTTTGTATACTTTAGTTCCAGGTAGAGGGATAGGGAAGTTGACGAGTTCCAAAGCAGCTGTGATGTTAAAATACTCTTCAGAAATTTCAGCTGCTACTTTATCTGTCATAAATTCTCCCAAGAAGACTCGAAGGGAGGCTTCCATGTTAATCTCACGGAAACGCAATTGATATTGCTCAGATTTCCCATCTAACGAAAGCCACTCATCAAAATGTTTCTGATATACCTTTTCTTGAATGGGAATATAGAGGCTAGAAGCTATGTATTAGTTTCAATTATATACAACCATCTTTTTCTTTTACCCAAGTGCTTTGCGAGTAAACAATACGTTTAAGCCTTTTCTGTAATCAACATGCTGCTTTCCGCTTAAAAAGACCCAGTTGTCTGCACACAGTATGTGTCTCATTGAGTCAACCACAGCGGGTTCAGCATAAACAGGGGCGTTCAAGATCTTTCGACTTAATTCACAGGTAGAGGCGATGACTACGAATCTTGTTTTAAAAGTAAGTATTACTTTTTGGGCTAAAATTTTTTTTTTTTTTTTTTTTTTTTTTCGCTTTACCTGTCAAACACGCTGACACAAGACAGCTCTCCACTTCTCCACTTGCTCATATAGCCTTCAAAAGTAGGATACAGAGAATCCATAAAGGCGCCAATAATTGGGATTTTGAAAAGAGGACCTGGCAAAGACTTTTTCTTTTTCAAGTATACATATTGCTCATAAGCAAACAAGCCAACAAGAGCCGAACAAACGACAGCGGTTGTAGAAGGTTGTGTAGAAACAAAAGCGCTTATAGCATTTTTGGCAGATTCGATGGAGCGAGGGTTAAACAAACTAAGTGGTGTTAATTTCCCCTGAAGTTTGTTCCTTCTATTATATGACTGTTTTCTTTATTACCTTGTTG